ACATCAATGTAAGACTTGGAGATAAATATCATTTATTACATAAATAATTTGTTTTGAGTTCTTTCATAATCGATCTATTTCTTAAACGTGGGGAAATACGGGACTTAGAAACCTGTAGACTTATACTAATCTAAAATAGTTGAATTCTAACAAGTACATGTATATATCAACACGTATTTATGTATTCATGTATGTATGTATATATACATATAAAATGATTACATTTTACAGAATAATGAATATATAGTACATTCACAAGATGCCTATGATAGTGACGATGAACTACTTGAAAGTTTTGTTAACGATGAACCTGCAGAGTGTCGGAAAAATAATATTATGGAGGAAGAACTGTTTGAATCACTAACTGTGAACATACAAGTAAAACCTGCAGAGTTATTGCTTATGGCAAAATGCAATATGCCCTATCTTACAGATTACCTATACTAGCCCTAACGAATTTATTAAAATTTATCAATAGTATGTGTGGTGCGGCCATTGTGCCTGAAACACGATATTACATTGATAAATTGCTGAATGCTGAAAGTAAAATTATGCTTCATGGCGTATGTCCGAACTGCTCACAACATTTGGGTACATTTCAGAACTTACGTATTTCAGTTAGGTGCTCTGAATGTAATTCTGAAGTAAATGTTGGAAATCCCACAGATCCATGTTTTTTTGCTTACATAGATCCGTCAACAGCCATGAAAGAGTACTTGGAAAATCACGAAGATTATTATGAATTCATAGTGTCGGAAAGGAAACACGAAAAAAATCACATAAAAGACATATACGATGGGAAGTTATACATGAATTTCGTTAAGAGCTTAAAGATCAAAGATAAAAATTCTTATGCAACGGCTTTATTCAATACTGATGGTGAGCCTGTTTTTCAATCATCTAAATTTTCTATCTGGCCGGTTTACATAATTATTAATGAACTTCCTGCTCAAGTTAGGTTACAGAATGCGATTGTTTGCGGATTGTGGTTTGGGCTAAAGAAACCAGACATGAGTGTATTTTTGGATTTCTTCGTCAAAAATCCAAATACATTGTCAACAGTGGGAGTACCTTGCACCATAAAAGGAATTCGGAAAAACATAAAGTTATATCCATTATTAGCATGCGTCGATTCTGTAGCTTGTGCCCCAATGAATGAAACTACTCAGTTTAATGGTAAATATGGTTGTGATTGGTGCTTACTTCCAGGTCATTAATACGGTGGATCCATGAGGTATCCTTACATTGTTCCGTATCCCGAAGAAAGAAATGCAAAAATAACAGTAAATCACTCTGCAAAAGCTACCGAATCTGGGAAACCATGTTTTGGTGTGAAAGGTGCTTCGCCTTTATTAAATTTGGCCAGCTTCGATATCATCAAAGGCTTTTGTCCGGAATATATGCATTTCTATCTACTCGGCATCAGCCGACAAACGACTGAATGTATTTTGTCACAGTCAAAACTAGATGTGGATGTAGTTGATATACTCCTATCTAAAATAAAAGCCGAACATATACTTGGAAGATTGACGAAACCTCTCTCACAGCGTGATAAATGGAAAGCTAAAGAGTGGGAGAACTGGACATTATATTACAGCGTTCCTATATTTGAATGTATCTCATTAGATCCACGTCTCTTACGACATTGGAGTTTGCTCGTTGACTCTCTACACATCTTACTAAGTGCTAACATACGTTATGAACAATTAAATAGTGCAAATGAAATGCTGCATCGATTTGTATTTCAAATGGAAGACATAGATTCATTGAATGAGATGACGTATAATGTGCATCAATCGCTTCATGTCGTAGAAAGCGTTAACAACTGGGGTCCACTGTGGTCACACTCGACGTTTTCTTTCAAATCCGCCAATCATAGCATACTAACAGCAATACATTGCTCACGAGGGGTAATTATGCAAATAATACGATATCTGAACATGCGACGATTAGTGACAATTTTAAAGAAAAAATTGTATGTAGATCAATCAGGCATATCTTTAAATTTTTGCGAGAATATTCTGCGCTCAAAAACAATGAAAACATTTAAAATATCAGAAATTACTTATTTTGGAAGAGAAAAGAGCGTTGCAACAGAAGTTCTCGACAGATTTAATTTACCTAAAAGTACTGTAAAGTTTTCAAAAATTGTTTTTAATAATTGTTTGTTTACGACATCAGAAAAGGTGAGTAGAAGGTCATGCAATTATTTTTTACAACTGTATAAGGGTAAATTTGTTAAAATATTAGATTTTTTGTTAGACAAAGAGAATAAGGGTTAGTTCATGGTATGTCTTTATTTAAATGTAAAACCATGTACTAATAGCAATATTATAAATGAATACACCGGTCCTAAAGAGTTATGTTGTTTAGAAACGAGCCAAATCAAAGCCATTTGTTGCATTATTACGATGTCTAACAAAGGTTATGTTGTACCAGTGCCGAATATGTATTCATATTAAGTCATTATTGATTGCACAGTATGTGTGTAAACGTTGTTTATACTCAATATAATTTCATTATCCAATTCTTTGTATAAACTTAATTTATTTATCATGATAAATATGTATTTATTGATATGATTTAGAACCATCTGTATTCACGTGAAAATGGGTTTTTTAAAAGTGGGTTACGCGCCATTATTGTTTCAACACCCACTTGCACCTCACCAAACGTCATTCCAAGCAATTTGTTATTTCGCACCAACTCTGTCACGCGACATTTTCATCCCATAAACATCCTCATTATACAATCGCCTTCCATACAATACGCACTCACCAGCCTTTCTCTCGCCACTACAAACTAATCATCCTGCCTTCTCCAGCCATCTCAAGTAAACTTGCATTGCCCTTCATTCGTATCATTCCATCGCGCTAAAGACTTCTTTTATCACTTCTTTCGTTCTTCTTATCAGCCTCATTACCTTCCTAAGCTATCAAAATCATTCACACAGCCTTACCCATGCCTGCTATTTTTAGCACTATGTAAATTAGCTTCAGTGTTACCATTAGTATTTAATCTTAAGTGAACATTTGCTGTAAGCCTTAGTCTTTAAGTTTTAGGTTACAATTTGCTTTACCTTGTAATTCAATTTGGCCAGATGGGGATCTTCCCCTAGGCGTAATAAACTTCTAAACACTCTAAACACTCTACTCTTGTGGTAAGAAAGAGAAAGAGATACGGTGCATACGGCGCTCTCTCTCTGGTCTTGGCGTCAGCCAGCCCGTTCCTCAGTTTCTGGCACAGTCTCATTGTATAAGTATACGGTCAAAGGTTGGAGCATGCCATCTGCACCTTCTTGCTCCGTGCCCGAGGCTCAGGTGACAACAGTATTGCGCTCATAGATATATAAGAAAAATAGACTGCTCGTTCTTATGTACGGCGCTGAATGAATTTGGCAGTGTGCGAGAGAGACAGTTATCCACGTTTGATGTTGTGTCTCCTTCTACTTGTGCTTCAGCGCTGTACAAAAGAACGAGCAGTCTATTTTTCTTATATGTCTATGATTGCGTTTGTATTCGGCAGTCGCCACCAGCCAGTAAATATAAAAGACATGGCAACGTTGCGTCATTGGAGGCGTCACTGTCGCTATTTACTGGTGCTGTGTTCGGCAATTTCTCTTCATGATGTAAATGTAAGTAAATACGGTGTGTGACCCAACCAATTCAAATTGAGACTGTTCCTGCGCACATCCGTAATTCCGCTATGTTGGAATTGTGTAGTCTGCTTTATTTATTTTTAGATTACATGCACTCATGACACTTATTTGAGAACTTGAGTGGTGAAATAAATTAATATTTACAATATGCCATCGTGGTGGCTTATATATAAATATTTTTACACGAATGAATAAACAGTCAAACATTTTACTATCGTAGGTAACGTATGCTCTGCACATTTCATTCAAGATAAGAAAAAACTTAATCGTCCCTGGTGATACAAATATATTTGTTTTATCCAAATCAGCTGTTCCAACAATAAAATTAGATTCCATATACGTACAGGAGACACTGTATTTTTTACATGATTTTTATTTATCCAGGAAATAATTTAATCTCATGTAGTAATCTCAGATGTGCAACTAAAAGAAAAGTGCAGCTTGAAGCCTCACTGAATACAGCAGTCTTTAAAACATTGACAGCTCTGTGATTTTTAACTATTGTTGTACACAAGTAATGATCCCTTTAAAAATATTATCTAACAGTAGAGTTAATTTGTTATCAACTTTTAAATTTTTATTTATTTTTGTTATTGCATTGTGGGCTGTTTATATATTTATAACCGGATGAGAACAATCACAATTAACCAAAATTCATTCAGAAATATAATTTAAAAAAAAATTATAATAGACTTATTAATGATTTTTTTACCATAAATACGTACATGACTTACTTCGAATCATTTCTCTCTTAAATCCGGCAATAATTAATTTTTATTGTGTCATCACTATTCGATATAACTGTTAAAAGATGTTTTCTTATTTTCAGCAAGAATTTTTAAGCATAACTTTTAAAATTGTAATGTAAGCTAAAACCTTTTTGAAACCATAGACAATCACATATTTTTGAAATACCGCTAAATTCGGATTGGCTTAAATCCCAATATGGACGATGTGCGGATGAGGCACGCTATTGGAGAGACTCGGACTCATCGGAAATTTGCGCCATCACACACCTCATCTATATATATATACTTACATCATGATTTCTCACCAGAAAAAAAGCAGACGACGTCGATCTAATTACTCTTTTTTGTTACATTTTTTTTGACGCTCTGGCATTCTGCTATAATATATAAATGTAAACAAGAGCGCCCCTTAATGTCGTCTGCATTTTACTGGTGAGATTGCCGAACACAGCACCAGTAAATAGCGACAGTGGCGCTTCGAATGACGCGACGTTGCCATGGCTTTCACATTTACTGGCTGGTGGCAGTGGTGGCGAGTTGGCGACTGGCGATTGCCGAACACAGCCTCTATAATTGCGTTTGTTCCTATTACCGGTCCCAAGTAGTTTTGCATTTCGTGTACAAGGCCTTAGAGTATCATTTTTATTTCATTGTAATGATGCAAATTTTATTGTTCAATGCTAATAGCAATTGCCTCACTGTGTACTAATCGATGAAAGTTAAATTATTGTAACAGCGAATTAATAGTTATGATTCTAATCCGTGTTGTGGAAAACTTGAAGCAGTGTAGTAATCCAATAGTAAGAGGTATGATTCGTCCTATAAATTTAAATGTCAAAATGGCTTTGATTGAATCACCTGAAAATCAGTCGTTTTTATAGATTATTTCATGGTTGATTATTTAACACGTTTTATGACTGTCTGATAGATTACGGTACATAGAAAAACGTTTGTATACCCATTAATAATGATGTAGATGTAGTCGTACGCGCGTGTACAAATATTGTGCAAGTTTAAACTCGAGTGTTATACTCTAAAATGTGCAATTGCATGGATGTTCTTCTGTTAATGTTATATCTTATTTAATAAGTATCATTCAAACTTTGTTTAAAATTTGAAGTTATAATATGCAAAAAGTTGTATTAGTCTATGTATGATATTTACTTAAATCGTAAGCCACAGAAAGTTCATGTACCAATTTTTGTCAATTCACTATTGTGAAAATATTAAAATTATTTATAAGTCGAAAGTTCGCCTGTTAGACATTTCATTTTATCTTGGAGTAACATTTTTTAAAATACATTAAATAAACATTAGGATTGTTGCAATATTGTTTGTTACTTTCTTACAATTTGGAATACCTCTAAATAGTCCACAATTTCAAGAGGCTGTAGAATTCATATTAGAGTCTTGTGTTAATGAATGATGGTTCTGAGAATTTTTGTTCTGCTGAGTCCTCAAAATAAGATTGATTTTACATGTGCACCTATCAATATGTACCCACACCAACACACACACACACACACACACTCACATTCTCACAAAATTATAGTGATATAAGCCCAACTTCATCTTACAGGCACTATATATTCAGAGCACTCAGAACTTTCTTGAGAAAAGAAAGAGTGAAGAGAAGGGGTAGGGATGACTAACTTTTGCAACTGATCGGTGTATAATTACTCCAATCTTGATCAGATGTATACCTATGTATAAACAACATAACTAAGTTCTGCACACTTCCAGATCACATTGTCTGCAACGACAGAAAAACAGTCAATCGACCCTAGAAAATCAACTTCCAAAGTAAAATGGCCAGACAGGAACGGTTACTCATTCAAATACTAACTGACAAATACTGCTTAACCGTGTCAATTTACATACCTATGCCCATGTGCTGTTTACCGTGTACTTGTTGTGAAATCGACGTATACTTTAATTTGATTTTATAGGTAGTCCAGTGATAATAAAGGTTTCCTACTTTGTAGATAAAGTTTCTTTAGTTGTATAGCTTTAAAACATTATTTATTTAACAGATTCATTTCTTAGAAAAAATTATTGTAGATGTATTTATTCTTAATACTCTAAAGAATAAATCAATCCCATATTTAGTTGAGAAGTGTCAGACTGATGAGGGGTTTTCTGATTTTTAATGTTTTTCTTGATATTTTAATTAATCTTGCCGAATTTTATTTAAACTTTGTAAAGTCAAAATTGTGTGACTACTTTTTGATGTACATGTATATGTTTCAAATCCATTGATAATTGTAAACTAAGGGAAATAGCTGTTGATCGGTATATATAATAAGAAACTAATATAGTCTGAGTCTTATCTTAAGCCTAATCCTGTTAAGAAGTGTTATTTGTGCCAGTAATTTTTTTTTCTACCTAATTTTTTGTGAATAAAGAGTCGTTGCACATTGTTGAATTTACAAGGAATAAATGTAGGGTGAATGTGCAGTTAAGGGAGTTGGGTCGCAATTCACTTAACAATTAAAGTGTTTTGAAAAAATAAAGAAACATTGCGCGGATATCGTCACCAAATTGAAATTGAAAAAATTCATGAAGTTTCCATTTTTCGTCGTCTTTAACATGGGCTCAAATATAAGTTATCAAAAAAGTTGTAGAAAAATATCTATTACTCTTGAGACAGCGACGAGAATGTTTTGAAAAACTGATATGTTATTCATGACAACTTCAGAAGTGACAACGTGCAAAGTTTCAACAAAAATGCTATACCATTCAAATCTCTCATTTTAAAAATTCATAGCACAATTTATAGCACAATTTTATTAAAAGAAGATCAGATTGACTATACCATGTTCTCCTTATTTTTCATCTTCCATAAAAAAAGTATTCATGGTGTTTGATTTATACTATAGGAAACTAGATACCTTGAAGAATATTCTGTAATTTTTTTGAAGCATATTATTAATACAATATCGAGTACTGGCAAGTTAAATATAAATGCATTTTCCGTAATCGAGAGAGCGGACGTTTTTAGGCTAGGTTAGTACAGCAGACTTTATCACGGTGCCTTATGCACATACACGTGCTCCCCTTTACCTCCCCGCTGGAGCGACCCAACTCCCTTAAGGACATCTTTTGAAAAGTTAGCTACAGGTGTAGCAGTCCTACTAACATAGTTTATTGGCTCCGTGCATGAAGTTGGAGGGGAGGGCTGGCGCTGGCCGTCACGTTAACACAGAGTTTTATGGAAACGAGGGTATGGTGTCGCCGGTGGCTGCCACGGGTACTATTTGCTTCCATAAGATTTAACATGTGTTAGGGGTATGAAATGAGGGCAGCACGGTGTATGCACGGAGTCAATCGCGGGAAATACAAAATTATGAACGCAGGAAATCACAAGGGTGCCATTTCCGCGCATTGAAAGAATATTATATATTCTATTAATCAAATTTAAAGTACCTGCCATGAAGTCAGTTATTTTTTATGCAGAAGACTTTTTTTGCGGCTAAGATTTCAAGTTGCAACTTGTCATTTTCATTTCGTTTGGCTAGCGTTTGTGTCGGTTAGTTTTGTGTGTCAGATTTCGTGTTTAGATGTTATGGTGCTTTCGCGTGATTTATTCCTAAAGGAGTTGAAACAAACTCCTCTACAAGTAATTAAAGAATGGCAGAGCCGTGGATTACTTGTTAAATCTGCAATTTGTTCTCATTGTGTCATTGAGATGTTCATAGGTGAAAAAAGTGATTTGGTTGATAAATATATGTGAAGATGCAGAAAATGCAAAACCTTAAAATCATTGCGTAAAAACTCCTAGCCAAGAGTGAATAACGTTAAATCTAGGACATTTCTTGACCTTCGAACGTGGTGCGTAAACTATTTTTCTGCACACTCTTATCGAAAGAGCTGATTATCTGTTTTGGAGCAGGGCAGATATAAAGCATTTTCGGTGAGTGTATGCAGAAAAAGTAAATTAATCGAGTAGGTAGCAAATTTGAACGATCTATGGACTGCTCTTAAGGGGGTTCCAGCAGAAGAAGTTAAGAAGTCGTAGATAGTTGAATTGATAGATAAAACCCTCTGAATCCAGCGGTGTCTTTATTTACTTCTCTAACCGTGGAAAATTTCAAGTTATTTGCTCTCAAAGTTCGCACATTATACACAACCTTTTATGGAGCAACATAAATACAACTTAATTTTCTGACCATAATGTAGGAGTTACATATTAGGGTAGTAACTGTTTTATGGAAAAAAAATCTCAGCTTTCAGTTTGTACTTTGCAAAATATAGGTAACCCAAAAAAATTCAAGGTATTCCGTAAGTATTCATCGAGTCGTTGTATTCCACTTGTATTAGCATACAGTTTTTATAGTTACACATATACGTATACGATGGTGCTTGCACATATACCTGCAGCAGTGATACCAACTGACACAATTATTTTCGGATTGGTACCAGTGCTCGCTATAGTTCCCTTAATTAATGCCGCTTGCTCATAATATACAATGCACGTAATATGTAATGTATTCTTTTTTAGTAGCTTTATTATTCATTTTTATACCATTACAGATATAGGGGCAATTTTCGTATGCATTAATATTTTTCAATGATACAACAGATAAGTGGTTTTTTAATTTAGACGTAATCATTGACTGATCGTCAAATTTCTTACACTTTGTAGTATGTTTATTTTTATGTCGCTCAAAAAATACTAAATAAGTTACTCAATCTATCTAGCGTTGTTACCGTCATTTATATTTTAGATTTTACTTTTTATGTAGACCAAATATAATTTAATAAAATTGTTATTTTAATCGTAATAATGAGTCATAAACCATTTTGGTTCATACCCAGCGAATGCCATTCGAAACTCAACTTCGTGATATGAGCTTGAACTAATCATACAACGAACGTAAGTAAATGTAGACGCATACATGTTTAGGATGAAACCAATAAATATTATTTGCATGGGTGGGAGATGGAAGAAAATCATTACCTCATCTTTGTTACCTCTCAGCTTTAACAATTTTCATCTACGGTGATGCTGTGAGCGTGTGTGTTAACCTCGTTATTGATTGCTTTTTTTTTTTTTTTTTTTTTTTTTTTTTTTTTTTTTTTTTTTTTTTAATTTTTTGTAAACGTTAAGGTAACTCTTCCACCTACTACTCTAGACAAATGACTGCGAAAGACTCAGTTTGATTTTGGTAGTTGCATCGATAATGCAGTTGGTGTGTATATCCGCATCAGTTTGTAAACACGTGCGTCTGCTAGAAGTGCTAGCGTAATAGGAGCAGTAGAATTGCAGCATTTCTAGTAGTAATTTGTTGCTATTATTTATTTTATTTATCCTCACCCCATTGGTACTTAGTTTTTCAAAAATAATAAAAAAAGTGTGGATATAATAAGCGTTATTGTTTCTATTCACTTTTTTAAACTGTCGCACTTACGTACAAGAACACGCCCACCAATAGAAAGAGTATAAGTATCTAGTGGAGTGTGGCCGAAGACACACCATTTGTGGGGCCGTATATATACCTTTTTTTTATATTATAGCGTCATACGTCTGGCTCCTAATTAGGGCACTGCTCTGGGCACTCGACACTTGGGAAAGAGAAGGGAAGAGGGATAGGGAGGTCTCCCTTTACAGGAGGGGGGTAGTGGGAAATAGGCAATTTTTCTGCGAGAAGGTCGCCCCATCCCTTCATGAGGAGCACTGCGTGATGAAAAAGCACATATGAAAACTCACAGAGGTACTTGCCCGAAAATGTTGCACTGGCCGGGAATCGAACCACGGTCTCCCGCGTGCCGATCCACAACCTAGCCAACTAAGCCACCGCGCTCTC